TTCACGTAGCTGAATTTGCGTATCTTAAATCGACTCCCCGCTGTAGTGTAGATGTACCCTCAGAGAGGTTGTTTGTAACTCTGAAATGTTTGTAAGTGAACAAAACGTTATGGTTGTTCTTTCAAAAGTTTGCAACTGAACATTGATTTAATTGAAACTTTACTATGCAGAAGAATGCTGCTTTCCCTTTTTATTAGTAGTTTACATTTAACACAGTACTGTACTGTATTTGTCCTTTTTTTTTTTGTCTCTGCTGCTGCCTGATTGAGAACTTCTGGTTCCAAACGAGGTGTGTGGTTCACTGGTCCGTTCGTAATGGTGTTGTTTGTTACTCTGAGGTTCTACTGTACTTTTTTCGTCTGTAGTTGTTTGTATACAACTTTCTAAAAATACCAAAACTCAGTTTAATGCCCTAAATTCTAGGGTACTTCAGGAATTTATTTATTTTAAGTGCTGGAAAGCAGGCTGATCTTGAGTCTTGTCAAATTTAAGGCACATTGATCTTTCTAATGGCTGATTAGGATAATCTCACTCCTCTAACCCTTAAGTCTCCCCTTTCTAATAAAATTGCAGTAGGAATGGATGAAGAGTTCTGCTTCAGTTGGGATGCAATCCATAAATAAATGTACTGTTTCCTTTCTGAATGTAGAAGGCTATACAGTAGTGTCCAACCCTTGTTGGCCTTCATAAAAATCTTTGAAACCGAGAAGGGATACAAGCCCTTTCAATATTGACATCACTAATGGATATCTATCTTGGACTGTGTAATTAGTGGTGTATAAGTTGAAATACTTCCTAAATGTGTCTTTTAGGTAAAAGTTAAGGATTTTTTTTAAGTATGGGTAAACAGAGGCACTCAGGGTTATGTGATTTGTGCAGAGTTTCTAAGCTCAGTGACAGTGTCAGGAATAAAGCCCAGAAGTCCTGACTCACCTAATCTTGCTTTATCCATTAGACAACACTATAAATGCATATCCTGACATAAATATAACGTTGTATATGTAAGTGTACATAACATTAGGTTCTATGATAAAATAGCAAATGATTGTGTACATGTACTAGTAGTAGTAGTTTATTCTGCAGGTTTAATATGCCCTAGGAGTTAATTCTGATGAAGTTCTGTGCCCTGTGTTATACAGGAGGTCAGACTAGATGATCACAATGGTTCTTTCTGGTTTTTGAATCTATGAATATAACTCTGATAGCACTCCAGGGATATGTACGCACCATTACGTAATATGTACTATGATAAAATAGCAAATCATTGTATATATGTTTAGTAATAGTTTATTTTGCATGTTTATTATCAAACTTACAGCACTCCAGGTATGCTTAGATGACTGCAGTTGTGTAGAAACATTTGAAGTACAGAGGCCAAGATTTTCAGAAGTGATTATTGATTTTGAATATCTCAATTTTGATTCCCCAACTGGAAACACCTTCATGGGGGTTGTTTTTCTAGAAACTGCTGAGCATGTATGCTCTGAAAATTGGCCTCCACCCCAAGTTGGGCACCCAAAATCACTATGAACATTTGGACAAATTCAGAATTTTAGTTGACTGTGTTAGGGAAGTACATGAAAAATTAGGTCATTGGATTCCACAATATTTATTGCTTCATAAAATCTGTTCTATGTAATGGAAATTCTGGTCCTACATGAGGTTTATAATGGAAAAAGCTTTTGTTAAATATTCCTGAGATGGATGTTAATGTGGGAATGCTGTGTTACATGTGGAAAGGAATTTTAGTGTTGTGTCAAGCAATTCTTTCCTGCTTTCGGGAGCAATTTGGAATTAGGCTTTATCCAATGCTAAGCCATTAGTTCTCTTTAAGGAAAGGTTACCATTAATATTCTTTTAGTTAGGCTAGGTGGTGTTAGGCTTTTTGCCAATTTTTAGCTCCTTTGAACAGTTTGGTTTTGCATAGGATTCCATTGAACCTCTCCTGCATTGTTTTATATCATTTTTATATCATTACTGAAGCCAAATCTACTGGCTTCAAGCTGTCTGTCAGCTCCTTAGAATCTCGTACCTTAGTGTTGAACCTCTAGCCATTTGTGTTCTGAAACTAGTGAACCTAATGCAATGAAATGTTATACATATTGCCAAATTATTTGCCTTTGTGAACCATAATCCTTATTCTTTCCTTTAATTGGACATCTCTGCCACCTACATCACCAAAGAGTTCTCAAGTGTGTGTTCATGCATACTGGACTAGAAACAAATGGAGATGAAAGCATAAGATTATCATCAGACTTTTAGATTTTAAGATCTTTGTGGCAAAGGACCATGTCTTTGTATCTGTGTGTGTACAGAGTCAATCCAGTTGGGACCTATGGATACTACTGTAACATAAAATATTAAACAGTACATTGTATTGCTGTAGTGTCCAAAGGACCCAATCAGGATTACATTTTCCACCTCCAGAGCCTCCTCCCAATGAAGGTGATCTGGACAAATATGACCACTATCTCTCCCCCCTCCACCCCTTAAGTAAATGATATGCAATTCTATAGAGCTTTCTTATAATTCATATAATAGAAACATAATAATGTGAATACATCTTTGTTCTGTATAGAGTCAGCAAATGTTTGAAGCTCTGTTTCCTAACTATAGATCATGTATTATTTGTACTGCATTTAGTACCTCATGGGACTCTGATTGAACTGCTAATGATCACTTTTGCTTTGATGACATTAAGAACTATGTTTGTTTTCTGACCCTCTTGGGTTACATGAACCTCACATTGCCTGAGACGTCATTTTGGATGGTCTGTGACTCTGTGTCAGTTAATATAAACAAAACAAAGGATTTGTTGATTGGGGCTGAGGACCTGTATTTCATCTTTGTGTCTCATTATATTGAGGTTAACTCCTTGTACCTATGTGTTTAACTTCTAATTAGGAACTTGGGATTTCTCTTTGACGCCAGTTTACTTGCCACCCATATTGGTGTATTAACAAGGTCATGTTACTACCAGTGGTTTAAACTCTCTAAAATCTGGAGATCTTGGATTTGGTCAGCAGCGAAAATCTAGGTCCGTGTGACTGGACTAATGTAATGGTCTTTGGGTCAGACTTCTTTTTTCATCCATCTTCTGTTTAGGTACTATTCAAAATACAGAGATGTGTTTAAATTTATTTTCCATACCTTGTAAATGTCATGATCAGTGTCCTGTGTGGACATGTATATGGTGTATATAAACTTGGCTCCTAGCTGTCAATTGCAACTATAGTCTCTGCACTAGTGACTCATGGCACTTTTAAAGCTTATCTGCAAATGTTCCCCACCCTCCTATATATTTTAGAAATGGTATATTACTGTGTGCTGGTTTGAAGCGTTAAATATATGCCTTATATAGCACCTTGCTTCATGTGAAGAGGCCTCACAAATCAGTAAATAATTGTATGAATTACAAATGGTTAACCTATATTCAGATACAGAGTCAAAATCTAATTACCTTATTCAAGACATTCTGAGGCACTCAGATACCTCAGTGATGGGTGCTGTTATAAATATATATCAATAAATAATTGTGTAGGTAAGGTGAGTACCATTTGGCCTTTATTGTTATTAGCAACTCTTTATCTTGTGGATATGTGCTTAATATAATAATGGAAGATACACTTACAATATTACAAATTACTTTGAAAGTAATCCTTGTAATATAGTGATTATAGAAATGTCTCATAAAACATTATGCCTATCTGTACAGAAGTAGGATGTCATTTTTAGTGTAATTGGACAATTATATGTACTTAATATTTATGCAGTACAGACGCTTTTAATGTATACATTTGGTTATAGTTCAAAACACTGAATTCTAAACATTTTACTACCTGCTGTAAAAAGTGTTATCAAAATGATAATCTAGGATTATGCAGCAGTCATTAGCTGCAGTTTCCAATGTTGTAATATAAGAGATGTATAGTGTTTAGAGCACAGCAGGGAGCAGGAAAGGAAAGGTCTACTTCTTGCTCTGCTCTAATTCCCAGTGGCATGTTGGACAAATCATTCAACTTCCCTGTACCTCAGTCTAACCATTTTTGACATTTGGCCAATCCCGCTTGGCATTTCTAGTGCTTTAATTGAGAGGAATTGAGCGGCAGCAGCTCTCTTGCTAGTGTAAATGACAAGTAACTTTCTGGATGTCAGTAGAGTTATGGGACAAGTGAGAAGAAAATCAGTCACAAGTAGCTTTAATACCATGTCTCAGAATAATCCCATGCTATTAGTCACTTGTCGACATTTCTATAATTGTATTATCTAAGACTGGCATCCTCCTCGTTTAGCTTTTGTATAGTCATAGGACAAAGAAAAAAAACCCAAAACAAAATGTACAGTGACCTAAATCAATCTCTTGAGCAGTGTTGTGATTCCTGAGCTATCTGGGACTCAAACACTGGTTCCAGCAGGTGATAAACTACTTTGAAAATATCTGGTTGTCTAACTCCTCACCTATAAAAACATATTTAATTACCTCACTTGCTTCAGGGAGTCTGTATCAACAAAATGTCAGTTAAACACTATGGATGAGATTTTGAAAATCCCACCATGAAAGCAACAGTGACTGAAAAATAATCTAACGTCAACTACTTTTGCATTACAGGAATACAAGCGCAAGTTAGCCAGAGTATCCCAGGTGCGAAAAGAACTCAGGTCACGCATCCAGAACCTTCCTGATCTGTCTCGACTTCCCAATGTCACAGGCAGTCATGTGCACCTACCATTTGCTGGAGACATCTACAGTGATGATTGATTATAAGAACCTCTATTTCTATAGCCTCTGCTCTTCTGTGGAGTGAGGGGTAGGTCAGACTGATTGATAGTCCTGTAGTATTATTTTTGTACATTGTTGGAGAGTGGCGGTAAAAAAAAAATAGCTCCAAATAATTTATAAGAATTGTTTAAAATATTGGTTTGTTTACTGTTTTATTGGCAAGTGAACATATAGGTACATTTATAAAAGGTGGCATCTGTATATTATTACGTTAAAGAATGGGTAATTATCTTACAATATTCGTATCTTTTGTACAGATTTTGATCAGGTGCCCTGTATGAAACTGATAAGTTTTCACTTTATTTTTTTTATGTACCCTCTACTCAGTGTAGTTCACTGTATAATCAAAGTGTACATTTAAGTTGCCACATTTCAATGGCTAGTGAGGCAATGGAACATTATGGAAATCACAATCTTATGTTTATAAGAAGACTACTGCGATTTATTTTTGGAGAGTGATGTTACTAGTTATTTATTAAGTTAATTTACTCACCCCCAAATAAAACTACTGCTTTATTTTAAAGTAAATGTTGTTAACCAGTTTTGAAAGTGGAAAATATAAATCATGTTAAATTGAACACCTCAAGTGACTCAAAATTGTGCATAATTTTAATATTTAAAAGTAAACATTAAAAATACTGAGTAAAAACTACACATATTAAGTAGTACAATAGAAATGCTTTTTTTCCTGACAACTTGCTTAGTAAATTGAAGGACCACTTCTTTGTACAATAACATCTTCTGCCACATCTTAACTTTCTGCCACATCTGTCTAACAAACCTGATCCCAGAAATGGGAAGTCATTCCACAGCTTTAACTATAGTATACAGTGGTTATTCAGGACCATACCTATTTTTGAATGGCCATTATTAAAATTTGAAAGTACTCAAGTACCATTTTACTTATACAGCATGATGATACTACAAATAGAATTTTGTTGTCTGTGGAAACTTTGGGTCAAAGCATCCTCTCCCATGGAGAAACCTGTCTAAAGAGGCAAATGAGCACCACAGGTCTCCTGTCTCTAAGCCTCCCAGTAAACATCTTCTAGATCTTGGTCTCCTTTCCTTACAAGGAGGGGACTTTCTCCCAGAAAATCTAGGCCACTGTGTGTATTAAACTGTAGAAAAATGTTGCTGAATGTGTGTTTAAAAACAAACTCTATCACTGTATAAATGTGGTATTTGTATATGAGTAACTAAACTTATGAAAATAAAGTTGTTTACCCCTTGCCTTTTAAAAACACCAAGAGGCAGATGTTTAAGGGTATTTAGGAACCTCAAGATGCGGCTAGATGCCTAGTGGAATTTTCAAAAGTGCCTTACTCGCCATTAATAGGAGTTAAGCACCTAGGTGCTTTTGAAGATCCCACTAGGCTCCTAGCTGCATCCATAGTCCCCTAAATACCCTTGAACATCTGACCCCAAGTGTTTGAGTTTGTTTTACCGTGTGAGACTTTATTAAGTGTTCTAGCAAGAGATTTGCCTAGAGAAGCTCTTTCATTGTAAACATTCATAGCAATATTAACAAATATCCACCTTTACTCATACTTGTCATGTAAACTAAAACTTTTTACGTCAGTGTAAGCATAAATAAAGTTTACAGCCAATTAACACTGTACCCCCCCATCCCATATTACATACTTAAAAACAGCAGTTTTTAAAATAAAATAGACTGAGATGACTCAGTATAGTCCTGGAGTGAAATCCTGGCCCTACTGAAGTCAATGAAAATTTTGCCATTTACTTCAGTAGGTCCAGGCCCTGGAATACTTGTTAACTATCAGCAGGATATAACAGCCTTTTTAAAAAAAATATTCATATTTGGACACAAGCACATACAGTCAGATTTTCCTCTTCTGCAAAAAGTACCACAAATGGGCTGTAGTTAGATGGAAAAATCTATGGAGTGAAATTACAGGGTTTCTGCACAGCATCATTACTTCAGAATAGGGTTTGGTGGCCCACAGAGGGGTCTAAGAGAGTTTGGACCTTCACCCATGGATTTCTCTGTACATCTGAAGGTAACAGAGAAATTGGATATTTACAAAGAGGGCCAGACTCTACATGATATTTCTTGGGACTCTTCCTATCCTCCCTAACAATATACCATCTAGACTGCTGCTGGCGTGGCCTCTCAACCCACACCTGGTCCCAAAACACTCCAAGTCCCTCTCAGGTTTACATGCATGAAGGAGGAACCTCCGGGAATTAAATCTGACAGGATCAACATTCATTTTTGCACACTTTACCCTGTAATTTGCAAGGAGATGATATTATGTAGAGTTGTTTTCATTGGGAGTTTCCCACCCAAAAACCTTATTAAGGGGTGGGAAAATGCTTGATGGTCTGAGCTCACCAGCCTTCAACAGATTTATAGCCATTTGAGTGGGCTTTCTACTCATTTTATCATTCCACAGTGAAAACCAGAGTGGGAAGGATATGGACAATAATTAGAACAAAGGAAATTAGGTATGTTTTCTTAAGCAGAGTCAGGTATGTAAAAAATATCCATAGTCATCTTTTCAAAAGTTGAAGACTATTTGAAAACTTAGACCTAGATTAAGACTTTCATGGTTTAAATGTGTTCTAATCCATTAAAAATGTAGCTGTATAAATGTATATGTATACACACTTTATTGCTGCAAAGAAGAACTCTCCTTTTGTAAAGCATAGTACAAAATTTCTTATAAATTAAAACCAAAAATCAGATCAGTTATTTCATGAATCATAAATGCACAGAACAAATCAGTAGTCTCAATCCGTTCCAAAGCAGGTGGACAGCTGCCGCCATTGAAGTCACTAGGTGTAGAGGTCTACTGATGTAGAGTTCATTGTAAGATCAGAGCCTGGATTTTTAAAATATTTTGTTGTAAAAAGTTTAAACATTCATTCCTTCTCCACCTGCCTTATTCAGAAAAAGGGCAGAAATCAATGTGTAAAAGTCAAGGAAAATCGGCATTCAGCTCCTCAAGGACAGAGAGAAAGGTAGACACTGACTTCACTCTTATTCTCTTCTTAAATTTTAGTAATATTGTTGTGTATCTATAGATGTATATTTAGAAGTGGTTAAAGACAAGATTTAGGAAAAATATATCGAAAAAAATCAAACTTTTCCTTGAGATGAACATTAATTTTGATATAATTTTAAGTGAAAGTTTGAGAACTATACTTTTCTTTGGATAAAATTTGCTGTATCTCACTGTTAATGTTTTTACCTCATGGAGCTTTTAATTCTGCAGTGTGCTTTGTTTGTTTGGGGTTTTTTAACAGCCACTCAAATTTAGTTTGAAAACAAACAATTTCGGGGAGATAAAATGCTCCTTGTTTGTCACTAAAAGTATCTCATGGTAGTGGATGAATGGTGCTCCAACTGTCTGATTTCTATGGTAGTGACTGCACAATATCAATGAATTTGATGTTTTAATACTGTAACACCATTCCCAGATTCACTGGAGGAGACATATTATTCAGTAAGACACAACAGCAACCCCATAGGGTTGGCAGGTATCCTTAAGTTCTCAGGTACCAAAATGTAGCATATATACCTGTGCACAGGATTGTTCCCAGGTAGATAAAATGAGGTGTAGTCGCCTAATCTGGATAAAGTTGTATTTTGGTAATGTGACACAATTGCACTGAAATCCAAATCACCTGCCCAAAGAAAGATGGATACTAGATGCAAATTTTTTTTAGCTCAACAAATGTTACACCTTTAAGCGTTTTCTAATAAAAAAAAAATTAGATCCTTCAGGTGAGAGATACACATTTATTTACTCAGTTATATTATATAGTTCAGGAGTTTTTAGTGAAAAAGCATGGACATAATCCGGCAGACCTTAATCATATGAATAATACCTACTTGCAGGTAATTCTGCTGCTATCAGCGGGATTACTCTAATGAAGTAACGACTTTGAAGATAAAGCCATATAGTTGTAAAACTTTATAAAAAATCTCTAAAAATGCCTATTCTCCATAGTTTTGTGATCTTACAAACAAATTTAAGATTCTTGGTTACAAAAGAATTGTAACTGTTGAAAAAGATAAATTGCCTCCTCTGTAGAAAGTTAATTTATAGATTTCAGTAACATTAGCTTGTCTGTTTTACATTCAGCTTCAACCTTTCATATATTAAACCAGTCAACCTTCCATGATTCCCCCTCCCACACAACACAATGAAAGCTACATGCTTTAAAATCTAGAAGTCAGTGGCAAAACACCCATGAATTTCAGTGTCTGCAAATGTGTCCTCTAGTGATCACCAAAATTCACCCTTCCATAGAGGGCCATCAAAAAGCCTATGCACCACCTGGAGAACTTAAATGAATATAGCTCGTGCATAGGCCTTTTTCTGGCCCTCTGCCTGGGTGTAAAATTAAACTTGTAGTACATATGGTAATAGAAAGTTATAGAGTTATTGTTGAAAGATTAGTGAATCAGCTGCAATGGCACTATTTTTGATGGGCTGGTTTTCTATTAATACAAACACTTGGGATTAATTCTTGCTTACTTTTCTCATGCCGATATTCCCACTATTTGTGTGAATAAAGCAGTTAGGATCTGGCTGTCAGCAACACACTCTAGAATCAACTTAAAAATCTTAATGGGAATATTGATTATCTTTTTTTAAAATGGATGACCATTCTGTCTTTGAACCTGTCTCACTGTGTTAAATTATCTTAATAGGTCAACTTCTCCATCTTACTATTTAGAAGTCGAATTCTGATTTAATCTTTACTACGTTAAAAAGTATCCTAGTAAGCATGATCCTTTTTTGTGGGAATTTGAAAAAATGCAATAACAGCACTTTGTAACTTGTTTGCAACAGAAATTTACTCATTTGTTGAAAGCTGACAAGAAAGATGCTTGAAATGTAAAAATGTGTTTCATTATTGTGCACTGCTCACAGAATGTGTAATTCTTGTATTTGTCCTCTAAATAACACCTCAATGTATAATGTTTTCATATTTAAAAGAATAAAATGTTGTAAAAACATCGTAAATCAACATTATTTAATGCTTATATGCCCAACCTATGTTCTCTAAAATGTCTATATATAGCCTCCATATATTGTTCTGAGTAACCCAAAACCATGCCACTATTTTGTCTGCGGCTGGTTTATAATAATTTTAATTATTACATTACTCTCTGTTGAGTGAAATGGCACTTTTAAATGAGGGTGGAATTTGTTCTAAAGGAAAAATATATAGTTTTGTGGTGAGTGTCTCTAAAAACTGTTTAAAACTAAAGAAGTTATCAATTGAAGCGACAGGAGACTCCATTATAAAAAGAAAAATCCATGACAATGATTACACTTAGTGTCTTCTATTTTGAAAGATTTACCAGTTTGAGAGATTCCCCGTACTTAAAATGGGGAATAATTGCTGAAACTGGGAATATCTCAAAATGGAAGAAAGTTTAAGCATGATTGCTGTACCAAACTGATTACTGTTACCATTTTGTTTTCTTATATGCAGTGTTGTCATAGCCAGGACTAACTTCTATTGGTGAAAGATACAAGCTATCAAGCTTAAGATGAGCTTTTCTTTAGGTCTGAGAAATGTACAAGGTGGAACAGATTGTTTAGCACATGTAGTTAACACATATTTCAAAGGACCATTCAAGGTGAAGTGGCCAATTACCACCTCTCCAGTCATAGGAGGATGGAAGGGGGAGAAAAAATAGGTGGGAGGGGGTTAGTGCGTTACAAATTGTTGTAATAAACCGTAAATCCAGTGTCCATATTCAGTCAATGACTTTTAGTGTCTAGGAAAGTTGAGTTTAAACTCCCAGGCTTGTCTTTTGAAGGTGTTGTGCAGGCTTCCTTTGAGGATGAGGATTGAGAGTTCAGATATAGAGTGATCACTTTGTGAAAAGTGTTCACACACAAGTGATAAGGTGTTTTTGTCTTGTATAATTTTTCTGTGAGAGTTCATTTGGAGCATACTGATTGTCTCATTTCACCCACAAAGTTGTTATTGGGGCATTTAGTGCACGGGAAGAGGTACACCATATATTGTGATAGGCACGTGTAGGACCCATCGATCTTGAAAGGTGTGTTGTGGGGATTATTGATCGTTGTAGCAGGTGAGATGTGTGCAGGTTTTGCATCTGTTGTTCTGGAAGGATCGGGTGGTTTTCAGTTGGTGTATCCTGCTCTGGGTGAAGCTACTTCTGATGATGAGCTTGGAAAGGTTGGGAGGGTTATTTGAAGGCCAACAGAGGGGGTTCAGGAAAGATTTCTTTAGAATGAGGTCCTCATCAAGAATGGGTTGTAATTGTCACGGGGGGGGGGGGAGTTATTTCTGTGTTGAAGCAGGTTCTCTTGAGGTATTTGAGTGGCCCATTTCATGACATGATCTCCTTCTCTAGTGGAGTGTCCTTGTTTGGTGTAGGCAGTTTTAAGTGTGTTAAGGTGTATATCCCAGACTTTCTCCTCAGAGCATATTCTACGGTATCAGAGTGTCTTGCTGTAGATAATTTTTTTAGTGTGTTTGGGGTGATTGCTGGATCCGTGAAGGTAGGTGTGATGAACTCTGGGTTTCTTGTGTATAGTTGTCAGTAGGGTTCCATGGTTAAAGCTGATTGTGGTATTCAGGAAGTGGATGCTAATGTGGGAATGTTCTAGAGAGTTTAAAGAAGGGGGAGTGGTTGTTGAAATTATGGTGGAAATCTATGATGAAGTTTAAGTCATCTGTCCAGAGAAAATATCGTTGATGTATCTCAGGTATTTCATTGGTTTCATGGTGTATTTGTCCAGAAATGCTTCCTTAATGTGACCCTTGAAGAGGTTGGCGTATTTGGGAGTCATCCTAGTACTCATGGCCATTCCCAGGCTTTGGACAAAGTGTTTGTGTTGAATGTAAAAGTGTTATGGGTGATAAATAGGATATAAAGGGATTTAACATTAGATACAAAGATGATATGTGCATACAAATAGGATAAATCATATTGGATAGCTTGTGACTTTTCCATTGATACCTTACATGACATAGTTTATATAAGATGTGATGCAACTGTCTAACAGTGGCAATATTATGTTTCAATCATACAGCGTCACAGCATCCAAAAGTGGCATACACCTTACTGTAAAAAAATTTAAAAAAATTTCATAAAGATTTTACAACACAGACCCTTTTAAAATACTGCTTTAAAATATACATTTTTCTTCCCAACAAAACTGAAGAATTAGTAAAGGCATCAGAGGACAAGCCATAAAGTGACCCATGTAAATAAATACAGAGCTCTATAGAGAGGAAAAACAGCACAATGCATTGTCAAAGCATAGTTACCAAAAAATTGTTAAAAATTGACCCTACATATATTTTAGTTAACTCGAAAGTGAAGGAAGGTCTTTCTAAATCACTTTTATTATGTATTTCAGCCACATTACCCATTTCCAGAAGATTCATATGAATATTACCTACTTATCAGCCCTTATGAGATTAAAACTAAGATTTGCAACAAGCTCTGCCCTCCCTGAAATGTTTTTTTTAAATATAGCAACTTGTATTTGTTGGAAAGTGGTCTTTAATTGGATTTTTAAAAAGCCAGATGCACTTCAAGGGACAAGTGGAATCATTTTATTTGTCGCTTTAGTGGTGCCAAAACAAGAATGAGGACTGGAACAGAAAGGAAGCAACCATTCACAGCACAGATCTGGAAAGAATTAGAGATAAGCAGATCCTCTGCAAGTTCTACTGTGGTACAGGATTCTATTTTAGAAATCATTACACTGATTGCTACGGCGCAAGCCAATCTGGTCCAAGAACAGATTTTGTCTTTTAATTCCAGAGCCATTAAAGATTGTGAAACAACTACAGGCTTCCAAGACTTGGCTTATTACCTTATTATTCCAGCAATATCCTCTGGTAGGGAATCTATATAAAAGTACAGAGACTGTTTCCAAACAATGTATTTAAATCTCCCCTACATGCTGAAGGCCTTACCACAGCCAGAAATTAAACCAGTATTAACAAAAATTGTTTCTAAGTTTATAAAACAATTTATAAAGCAGCCACTAATTTAGTTCATTTACTGGCCCAATTTTAGCCACTTCTACTGTAACCATTATCATGACTCTTGTAATTATTCAGTATTTCAAAGTGAAGACAAGAAGTTTTTCAGGTCCATCTTCTTCTGGCTCTTTTGTTTTTCTTCAAGATTAAGCAACCATTTTAGCTGAGTAAAATGAAATTTAGTGTTTTTGGGAGTCTTGGGGAAAGAACTGGATGGTGACTGTCCAGACATGCATGTTCTGAAAAGCAAAGCAAAACAAAACAAAAATCAGATAAATCTCTTTTTAAAAAGTGAGGCTGGAGAAATAATGTAATTTTATGGTCTGATTTTGAAAATGGTTGTGTACATAAAATTCAGGTGCACAATTACTTAACTGCAAACATAACTTATGCATTGTGTGTGAAAGTGAGCTGTGAGAAGCACAACTATCCAAATATGTTTGAAAGTACTGAGTCTGTGCACACAATTACATACGTGCTTGGAAAATAAAACCCTAAATGGTATCTCACACTAAGGCTGAAGTTTATTTTTTTAAAAACACCCAGAAGTGATACTTTTTACCCCTAGTCACTCTTTTTATTAGACCCTTTGGACTTCTGCAATTTAAAAAAAACAACAAAATAACAACTGATCTTCCATTTCGGATCAGAGAGATTACTAAATGACTTGTCTGAACTCCCTTTCCTGACTTCTAGTACTGTGCCCTATTCACTGTTGCCTCTTTAGGTAAAATGGAAATAGGCACCTGGAAGTTGATGCTGGACTCTTGCTTGTAGATCCAGATTTACTGTGGTTTAAGGGTGTCATTTTGTTTGCAGATATCGGAGTCTTTGGGTCTGGTTTACACATCGGAGTACCAGAACGGCTTGTTGCTGTTGCCAGAAAATCTCTGCTTTTACCATGATGTCTTGTTGTTTTGTTGCATGTGTTGCAAGTAACCAGCTATGAAGAGAGGAAAGGAAATGTTTGCTCTTCTGTCAGTCTTTCCCCATTTTAAATGTAGAAGGCATTGGTGACTAACACTTTTAGACTGATCCAAACTGCTCTTCAAAATTACAGAGTGAATCAAGCTGCTTAAATACTTACTTGTGTGAAGCAGAGAGACATAAAAAGCAACATCAAATCCACCTCTAGCTTTCTCCTTTAAACCACTTAAGCCATCAAATCCCCCAGGGTCTGACTAGAAATGATTCCAATCCCCTGGAAACTAATTTCAGGGGACTTTTAATACTGAATTGCAAACACATGGAGTGAAACACAAAAAACAATGTCACAACAAAAAGACTAGACAACATTAAAAGTGGCTCTGACTGTACAATACTCTGAATGTACCTCAGTGGGATTCATGTTTCACCACAAACATACAAGAAACCAGAAAATGATCAAAATGTATTTTAAAATTAATTTTTTAATTTACACCTCTATTTAAATATACAACACTTTTTTGCAAACAACAAGGAGTCCTTGTGCCACCGATGAAGTGGGTTATAGCCCATGAAAGCTGATGCCCAAATAAATTTGTTAGTCTCTAAGGTGCCACAAGGACTCCTCGTTGTTTTTGCTGATACAGACTAACACGGCTACCCCTCCGGAACACTTTTTTGGTGAGTCTTCAGAGAAAATGATATTAAAAATCCAAAATCTTCAAAAATAAAAATATGCACTACTGATAAAAAGAAACAAGGTAACCCATTGGTATGGAGAGAAGGAGAACCACACAGGGAGAGTGGGACTAGAGGGTATCTACTAAAGTTCAGTAGGGTCAAAAGGGGAAGCAGCTGAGTGGGCATATATTAATAGAGAGATTAATATATTAATCTCATATTAATAGAGAGATTGTCTGAGACACTGCTCCCATCACATAACATCTCTTATAAGTACACCAACTGCTTTCACAGAAAATAATAGGAAAGCTTTTAAATTTATTTTAGCTCTTTTTAATGGATTCAGCTAGAAACAAGGAGAATCAAAACAATATGACCTGCCTGCTCTCCACAGAAGACCACCAGTGGTCCACAACCCAAAGTTTGGGAACCAATGACTTAGGCAAAAATCTTTTTAACAGCTGATCTTCCATTAACTGATGAAACATATCTGCAAAAAAATGTACAGATGATACCTCTAGGAGTTTTAGAACACTGCAAAATAGAATACGGTAATTTTATGCAAATTGCAAAGTTAGCAGAATGCTTAAACCAAGATTAAAGTATCGCTAATGGCTAAGAAAGGTCTTGTAAACATAGCCTGTCAGCTTGTTGGTTTAAGTCTCAGTCAACCTTGCTCCTAATGTGTCATTTTCTACAGTAGGAGCTTATATGGCGCTACAATGGTAATTTTGGGAGCTGTCAGTTCCTGATAGTATTTTAAGTGTACAGTACCAGAAACATTTCAAGCACAATCCAAGTAGCAAATTGCAACCAAATAACAGTAAGTATGTAAGTCAATCTTGATCTTAACTTGGACAGATCTTAATGAGATTGTCAGTCTGTCTGAAACAGAGCAGATGGTATTATTACTATGTTTAAATCCCAATTCAAGGTCATTGCATGGAGATTAGAATGGACCACTAACTATAAACTCACATTTATATGGAGGCCTGCTACATTCTGAGAATCTGTCCAGCTAACAAACAAATGTATATTTTTGTTTAAAAACCTGTTACAGCTCTGCAGCAGGTCACAGTTTGTCAATATTTGTTTTTTTGGGGGGGGGGTGTTACACACGGTACATACACACCTTGCCAACTACTCCGTAGTATCATTACTTAAGTTTGTTTGGGCAAGACCACCCACATTATTGGAACAGGAAGAGACACACTGAATATCAGCTGTCTAAAATGACAGTTACTCAAATCTATCCGAAATGTTTGTAATATCACACCAGTGAATAATAAAAGCAAAATTTCCAAGTTCACAGTGGTCCACAAGCCCTTCAAATGGAAACTAAAATTTTGAGGGGAGGGAATTTGCTTCATTTTGATAGACACATTACAAAACTATCTGAAGTGCCTATAGCTTTGACATATACGTGATACTAGTTAATGATTATGATACTTCCTCAACCCAATCTTGTTGTTGGTGCTTCAGATTTCTATTGTTGCAAATTCTGGCACAGGAAATTATAATCAGTAGTTTCCTCATTTCTTAGAAAGCTGTCCAATCTGACCACAGGACATGCTCTGAAGACTCAATGTTGTGCCCAGTGGAGTGTCGTCTTCATTTATTAAGACATCTGTCTATACAATTGTTTTAATAGATTTGTATGTCTCTATAGCACTACATTAAAGGTATATATAGTTATTCTCTGCATGACAGCTTCAGAACTTGAACACTTCTCCATTTTAATCGTTCTGGAATATAATGAAGATCATGCAGTAAAGTGAAACATGTTAACACAAAATATAGTAAACAATGCTAACAAGCGTCTTCCCTTGCCCCTTAATGACTAGTTTCATTATTTTAATGAAGTTACTTTGGATTTACACATTGGTGTAAATGAGAGCAAAAATCGAGCCCAAAAAGCATTCTGAGACCTCCCCTAATGCAGACTGGTTTGCAGCACTGGGTAAAGTGCCTTTTCTTGGTGATAAAGCACTGTGCTCTGGGGTAGAAATGTATATTTTAACCCAGTAGACAGGGGAGGCCAGTTATTCATTTTTCCTTCTTACTGGATTGTTTCCACTTTCTACTCAGCAAACAAGAACTCACTGATTGGCTATTCATTACTGAATATTAAACACTGGTCAGGGAAGTCTCACACAAAATGGCCACCCAACCCAAGATTGTTTGAGCTTCCTCTTGGAGACACCAGAAGCTGCTCAGGCAGTTCACACTCAATTTGAAAAATGCTGACAAAGAAACAAACCAAACCAACAAAATTGTCGCACTGTCTGACATGTGAGACTACATCACTATGGATATCCTCGCCCTCAAAATATAAGCAACTGGGACAGTATTAATGTGTTACTAAGCACTTTGTGTGTGTGTATGAACTTTTGATCTTTTCCAGAAATAATTTACTCTCATTTAGGTACACAGCTTCACAACAGACTTCTAAACGGGAGCCTGGTGACAAGTGTTTCCTCCAGGCATAGCTGTCCTTGAAATCTTCAGGCCTCTACACAGCATTTTGCAGCCCACGGGAGCGAGCATCCCAGCCCGGGTTGACAGACTTGGTCTAGAAGAACTTTCACTAGTACTCAAAAAACAGCTGTCTAGACAGAGATTTGAAGTGTGACTCAGAGTATGAAACACCCCGCACTCCCTGGGTTTCAGCGCCTGAGCCACAGCTTTAAATCCCTGTCTATACAGTTATTTTCAGAGCACTAGCACGAGCCCCACTACCTAAGTCTATCAACCCGGGCTGAGAGGCTCGCTCCCATGGGCTCCAAAACACTGGGCAGACATATCTCAAATGGATAAATAAGAAAACAAGAAGTCAGGCAATAAGAGTTAATGTTCCAACGGCAACTTTAACTGGGATTATGATACACGTGCTGTATGCTTTATCATAGACATTTTATGACAAACAGTAACATTCAGCTTATACACTTAAAAAAAATGTCCATCACAGCCAAATTAGTGTAACTGCTGGAATCTTAACTTTTAACAGGCTTTTCAGCTTTGATTTCCTCTTTTTTTAAGAAAAGGGGGAAAACCTACCTCTACTTAATTATGTTAGGATTTACCTGGCCCCAATTAGGCTCTGCAGGTCATAACACTCTTGAGTGAAGAGGGTGGAAAAAGACAAGCATCTTTGCTGCTGCTAGTTTAGCTGGAGACACTTCTGCAAAACCGCACAAATAGACTAGCAGTACACTTTACACCAAGAACATTCTCAACAAAAAGTGATCTTCACAAGTGGTTTGTTTTTTAGATAAAATTTTAGAATATGCAGATTGTGGCTTCTATACATTTTTGCAGCCATGTGTTTGAGGTTTGGGGATTTTTCCACCTGCCATTTTCTCATCTCCTTATTGTTAGAGTCAGTTTTTTTGTTTTAAAATTCTTTGTGTGTGTATCTGAATAGAAGTTACCCCAACAGGAAAGTTACATAGAGAAAGTTGTTATGTTATGATGAAATAAGATTATGGATTGCAAGCTCAATTTCTAAACAGAAAAACTTCCTATCTTCTTTTATTCCCTCTCTCGTTGAGGGAAATAAATGCTCCAGGGAATGAACAAACCCAGTTATCGTGTTAATTGGAATAGCAATCTTACCAGAACACTTCTTGAGTCCTTGTACTTTTTCAAAAGCTTTGTCTGTTTCAAATTGAGTTTATGGTTCTTTGCCTCCCGATTAAGAAGTTTCTGTATCCGTGGAGTCAGTTTCATCTTGGGTTTGAGACGTACTCTGTGGTTATCAGGAACCAGAAACTGGAAACAGTAAGGGCATATCCTTTCTCTGTTGGTTTTGTTATCTACAGACGAATAAAGGCAACACAGTAAAACCCTAAATGAACATCTCTCTGTAAGTATGTTTTAGAGGTGAACATATATTACAGCTATTAAACCACTAATTTATAGCATACTGTAAATTGCGCATTGATAAGGGCATGACAACCTTTTTTCTAGTATTTTAAAAATATTATTCAGGTACAAGTACTTTGTTCAAGCTGTTCTGTTAGAAGTGTTCCTGTGTCAGCACGAGATACATGATTAATTTGATTCTGCATTTCATACTTAGCAAAAACTCAAGAGGAAGCCAAATGTTAAAAAATAATCATATAGTATTGTGTGTACAGTTACACATAATAAGGCACTGTCCAATGGGTAATTGTACCAGAAAAATACATTCCATCTTTCTTCAAAATCTTACATTCTGAGAACCACATTCCTGCAAGAAACTTCCTGAGGCACACTCCTGTGTCAACATAAAACCCTACTGAAGTCAAAGGTGGACTGCCCTTGCTAAGCTTCTTCCAAGACTGAAATTTAGTTAAAAACATAATAGTGTTAGAATCAAAACAGGCTGATGAAAGGCCAAATTCAGGCTTGATGTGAATGGATGCAGTATGGAGAGATGGTCCCACATCTGCCTCACTGCATCCCATTCCGGATAACATTAAATCAGACATAAGTGGTAGCCACAGAAGAGTCTACCAAAGGGAAAATATTTCCCAATTCCCTCTGATAAAGAATTTCCCTCTGTTACCCTGTTTTTGAGGGTGGAGGAGGAGAAGTGATCATGTTCTAAAAGTCACATCATGTGTTCTGAGCAGTTCAAAAGCTGTGAATTGAGCTTGCCTGTCTGGCTCCGATTTAAAGAACCAAACCCACTGAATTGTTTAAACTTGCCTTTTTTGGAATGAAGCGTCCACCTGGGGGAGGAAAAAGAACAGGGTTACCGACAAGTGACAAGTCACTGCACACCAGTCCCTGAAGCTCGGGCAGCAGGAGGCACTGGTTTGAGACCGAGCCACCCCATGCATGGGATCCTACCCTGGGTATAGGCTGTCCCCTACAAGGAAGTGTTGTGGAGAGAAGGTGGGAAGCCAGGATGGGGGCAGCAGGACAGACGGACAGCTGGCTGTGGGGGTGGACAGATGTCAGCCTGGCACAGGGCAGTCACAGCAGCTCGGCCCAAACGTGCGGGGCTCACCCAGCCAGGGCTCCTGCAGGCGTCAAGAAACCGGGGCCACGTGGTGGTTGAACACGAGGGTGAGGGGCCATGACTCGACGGGGCCGTCATTACGTCACAAATCGGAATGCCGTCGGTCTTCTTCTCCCCACCCCCTCGGAAAGAGGGTCCGCGCGCCAGGCTCTTACATCAGGAATCGGGCCTGAGCCGGGCACGTGCCCATCAGCGCCCGAGCCGCCCCTTCCAGGAACCGCCGGCGCCTCGACATCTCCGCGAGAGCGAGAGGCGCGCGCGCACCCCGCCGCGACCGGTCCAGTGCTGCCGACTTTCCTTCCGGTGTGAAAGCGCGGCGCAGGGTCCCGGCGGAAACAGCAGCCGCGGCACAAACGTTCCGGCCTCCCCCGCGGGAGGGAGAAAGAGCCCGTCGGGCAGGGTCGCTGCCGGGCCGGGCCCCTCCCCTCGCACGCTCAGCCCTGGGGCGCCGTCAAAAATATCGCTTCCTGTGCGAGGCGCAGGCGGGACAGGGGTTCCTGGGCGCGTAAAGCTGGGCGGGAGCGCGGCCGCGCTGCCCTGGCGTGCGGGGAGCCGGGACTCGGTGCCGCGCGCTGGGTGTGTCGCTCCAGGGCTCCCCGGCCGGCCGGCACCCCCCATGGACTCGCCTGGGCAGGGACCCCCCCGTGCTGCGCAGGCGCGGTCTGTTCCTGGGGCCCCTTGAGCAGCTCCTGGGGCCGGTTTACACTGCAGAGTTTTGGTCTTTCTAGCAGGATTGTGGCGGCCCCCAGCAAGCCGTGAATCCTCACAGGCGGGGGTGGCCGGCCCCGTGCCCAGTGATCTGCCCTGCCCTGCAGTTGGTCACTGTGGCACTTATCATGGACTTAATTAGCTAATGCCCAGAAGTCAATCTGATGAAACGACGCTGAGCGGGCGCTCACCACCGCCCAGGAAAGGCCTGTCAGATACATGTGCCGGTGCAGAATTAATTACCATGAATCCCAGCTGCAGTGATGCTGATGAAATAGCCACCTGCCCAAAAATGGAACTAGTTAACTTAGCAATATTGCAATGAGAGCTCAAAATGTGGTGGTTTAGGGGAGCCTTACCACAGTGCCTTGCTGCATCCTTGTGTCACATGTTCTCCTTGTCATTTCCAGAAAGGAGACAGCTTTTGGCAAGGAAATGTGAGAATGAAGCAAACATACATTTTAAAAATCATTGAATGTTTTTAACAATAAACAACCATCTAGTATAAACAGTAAACCTTTCTATTTTTAGTTGCTTTCCCTAATATTAAGCATGTTTAAATATGTGAGTGACCCGTCCCCCATGCTGTAGAGGAAGGCCAAAAAAAGGGGGGGGGGGGGCACGAAGGGGGTTGTCAAGGCTGCTTTCTCACTTTGAACTTTAGGGTACAAATGTGAGGGCCTGCATGAAACTTCCAAGCTTAACTACCAGCTTAGATCTGGTCTGCTGCCA